TTTTTTTTTTTGAGTGGGGGGGGTGGCTGGGGTTGCGTCGCCCCATGGCGCTTCCCAAATCCCCAACACCCCTCCCCAATGGCCGCAACACGGTCGCAAAGTTCCGCGGCCACGCGGACGCGTCCGCGGAGGTCGCGGACTCGGCCGCGCTTGTCCGCTGCCAAGGGTGTTTCATAGTCCCTACCCTCATATCGAGAAGGAGGATTGATCAACATACCATCATCGTTGGCCTACCTCCCTCACTTCGACCTGGACACGAGCTGGCCAACTCATGTGCCCTAGGGTCGACCGAAGTCAAAGGTGAACGAAGGGGCGGTATCTCACTCGTGCAACCTCACTCCTATCCATGCCTCTATTCGTCCCACCTCAGACATGGTCGCACCCCGACATGTGTTGTGGTTCAGCCCCCCTAGCTATCCATCATGATGAGCTAACCTGCCTCGTTCCCTCCCAACTCCGTGCAATCCGACGCACTTCTCCCCTCCCCGCCAATCCCTCCAATTCTTCCCCTGCTCACAGTTTTCTCTCTTGGAGTCAGATCAGGGAGGACTGATCAAAGGGTAGGGCAAGATCAGAACGGACTCCTCTCTAACACAAGTCATGCAGGAAGAAAGCATACGAATCACGAGAATGCAAAAATCGACGTTTCACTGGGAACGTCGTAACAGGTCGGTCGTCCATTGTCTACTCGCCCAAGCCAGTGTCGCACCTGCACACACCAAGAGATATCCGGCGAAAGTGTCAAAGAAAATGAACTCATGCCTCTAAATCCACCATGCCTTTACGGTTACAGGCAGGCCGAAGTCCCGAGAGGCAGCCTTCCCAGGCAACGACACTACTGTCGACCGGAAGAAGTGATCTGCCGGCACGCCGACCGAACCCTATATGTCGCCCCAGGTCTGTCACCCGCGGGAGAGGTCGATCGGGGCTCCTGTAACCTACACGAAAACGGTTAGCCCAAAATCACACAACAAAGACTGGCGTAGAGTTAGAGTCCAACAAACAAGAAGCTCGAAGGTCACCGTTTGGAAGGAACAAAAAGTATAATTTCATGTAGTCCAAAATAATCGGGTCCTGCACGACTCCCAAGCCCTGAGATAAGTCCCACGTCCAGGTCAGGAAAATCAGTCTGAGTCCCAACTGATCTCACTGACAACCTAGGGTGAATCTACGAATCCCCCTCGGCGGCGGCCATCCGCGGACAAGTCTGCGATGCGCACGTATCAGGATGCGGGATGGAGGGGGAGAGGGGGATCGGGATGAGAGAGGGACGGGGAGAGGGGGATCGGGATGACGGAGGGACGGGGAGAGGGAGATCGGAATGGGGTCGACAAGACCCGTCTGGATGGGGTGGCGACGTCAGGATAGGAGGGAGGAGGAAGAGGAAACGACGAGATGTCGGGTTAGAGAGGGGAGGGAAGAGGGACATCGGGATGGTGGAGAGAGGGGGAGAGGGGGATCGGGATGGAATCGACAGGACATGTCGGGATAGGCCGACGATGCGCACGTACCGGGATGAGGGAGGGAGGGAGAGAAGGGGATCGGGATGGGGTCGACGGGACATATCGGGATAGAGGTAGGGCTGCGCGTGCATCGCACGTATCGGGATCAGGGAGGAAGGGGGAGAGGGAGATCGGGATGGGATTGATGGGACAGGTCGGGATAGAGGGAACGACGGGACGTCGGGATAGAGAGGGAGGAGAAGAGGGACATCGGGATGAGGAAGTCGACGGGGACACGTCGGGATGGGGCGGCAAGGTCGGGATAGGAGGGAGGAGGAAGGGGAAACGACGAGACGTCGGGATAGAAAGGGAGGGGAAGAGGGACATCGGCATGAGGAAGGGAGGGGGAGAGGGGGATCGGGTGATGGGGAAGAAGGGCGTCGGGATAGGGAGGGAGGGGGGGGGGCAGATCGGGATGGGGGACGTCGGGATATAGGAGGGGACGTTAGGATGGGGAAGAAGGGCGTCGGCATAGAAGAAGGACATCGGGATAGGGAGGGGGGGGAAGAGTTGAAGGGGGGAAGAGTGACGAGGCCGGACGTCGGGATAGCGAGGAGAGGTTTGGACTCCACCTTTTTTTTTTTTTTGCTTTTTCGGGGTCATAGAAGTGACAAGGTCGGCGATGGGGAAAAGGGAGAGACGGCGGCGGGGTAGGACGGGACAGTTTCGGGATAGGGGAAGTGGAAGTTGGAATGGAAACCGGCATGGGGGAAGGAAGAGGTCGGAGACGCGGAAGAGGGGGAGGCGGGGGCGAGAATAGGAGGGAACGCCGGGATGGGGCAGAAGCACGTCGGGATAGGGAGAGGGGGGGAGAGGGAGATCGGGATGGCGTCGGGATAGGGCAAGGGGAAATTGGAATGGGAATCGGGATGGGGGAAGCAAGAGGTCGAAGACGGGGAA